AGTTCACCCTCTACTTTTTTCTTACCTCTTGGTGGCATCGAAAGGCATTGGATAAAATTAGGTCGGCTACGAGGCAACTCGTGATAAAAATTTCCACTAAAATAAATATTATTTTTAACCCAATGCCATCTATCGTTTACAGCAGAAATTTTGAATAGGTCAGTAGCTACGATAGATGACACTACCTTACCTTTTGGGAAGATGGTGGTATAACATACGCCATTGTTGACGTATTTGAACAACTCTGGGGAGGTGAGGAACTTCACAGAATCTAATATATTTATGGGGTGGACACAATTGTATACCGCACAAGCTAACTGGTGTAGTTCCTTACCACCGTCAGATGCAAGCAGCTTGGTCAAGCCTTTCGGTTGTGATACTAGTTGACGTATCAGAAGGTCAGGCTGGCCAAATTGCTCTTGCAGAGCCGCCATGATCTCTTCTGGGTCTTGTGACAAAGCCAGAAGAGAAATAACAGCGTCACGAGCGGCTCCAGGGAGAGCAGAGAGAGAGCTCGACGAAGCAACAGCGTCTGGCTGCTGCGTTCCATAGCCGTAGTGCTGAGAGGATGTCATGTCGTGGACATTTGAAGTTTCAAGGGTAGTTAGGGCCGGCGCGGTAACAGGCGCACACTCGCGCACCGCGGCTGATACGCCGGCGGTGCCGGGCGAGTATTCATGCGCGCGCTCGGCCAATTTCAGTACCGTATGCGCCTCCAATGCCGACTGAACAGGCGCGAAAGAGGGCACGTGCTCGCGCGTTGCGACACCAGCCATACCGGTGGCACAAACGCCAGGCGAGACCACGGGCTCGCGTTCTGTGGCCAGCACCAAGTTGACCTGTCTCTCAGAGAAAGAATTGTTAGTGTAGGTCACCAATTTTTCTAGTCTAGAGTTTCTAGATGATTGTGAGTGTGTACTGGCGGCCTCATCAATAGCCGCTAATTTAGCCTCTAGTTCTAGAGTCGCTACAATACGCTCCCGCTCAGCTGCAGCGCGTTCCCGCTCAGCTGCAGCGCGTTCCCGCTCAGTTGCGGCGCGGTCAAGATCGGCCTCTAATTCGGCTAAGCGACGTGCATGTAATGCTTTCGCGGCAAGTCGTTGCGTTTGAATAGAGGTTGATGAGCGATGTGGACTATAACGCGAACTAGGAATATTAATATTATGAGAAACGCCGGCGGATACCTCTGAAGGAGGAACGATTAAATCCGCTGGGGCGCTTTGTGCCGCTGCCATACCTCTTATGAGAACCATTTGAAAAAATTTTTATAATTTCGAATTTTTTTTTAAATATATATCTAATAATTTTACCGGGAGAAGGACCAATGAAAGCGATGGTAGAAGAGGAGGGCAGCAACAATAATAAAATAATAATATAGAGAGAGGCTTACCAATATATTTTCTTAGACGTACACACTTCTTACAATATAACAATAATATTATGTCACTCAAATAGAAAAACAAAATAAGTATCAAAAAGACATATTCATAATATAAAAATATAATGCTAAAAAGGTAAATTATATAAAAAGAGGTCTGTCGCCAATATATATATATATATATATATATATATATATATATATATATATATATATATATATATATATATATATATATATATATATATATATATATATATATACCTACCCTGTATACATACAATATTTTTATCACATTACTACATGATCCGATGAACTTCGTATCATTTAAAATTTCCAATTTTTCAGCTAAATTCTAGAGCTTTCAGGTTTGTTTTTTATTTTATTTTAAAGCACCCCTGTATTACAAAGAATAAAAAAATATATACAAATCGGTTAAGCCTTTTTTGAGTTTTAGCAAGACTACTGACCAGCTGATTATATATATATATATATATATATATATATATATAGCTGATTATTATATATATATATATATATAGCCTTATCGCTAAGAGCGACTCTCTTCCAGGCAACCTTTGGATGGAGAGGAGTAATTAAAAACAGTTTGATCGGGGGCACAATGAAAAATTTTGTTAGTTCTAAATATGGGAGATGTTATACATATAATAATATAAATATTATCCCTACTCATTATTATATTTATATACATACACCCACACACACATATATATATATATATATATATATATATATATATATATATATATATATATATATATATATATATGGATTTTTAGATAAACATATTTAATCAACCAACACTACGCATAAAATAGTATTTTAGATATAATACCGGCGTCATATAAATAATATAGTAATGAATGAAATAAGAGCAATCTGTAGATGCGTTAATATTAGCAAGGAGTTCTTTGATGTTCATAAATCTAATTTAGGAGTAAATAAAGATAGTGTTGATAAGTATAATTAATTTTCTTTTACTATTATATATTACTGTGATGAAATAACTGGTAATCAAGAAACTACGTCGCAACATTAGAGTGTAGTAAAAATACTTGTATCTACAAATTTTGTTTGTGTGAACCGAACAAATTCATACACGACCTACGACTATGAATCAAGTCAATGATTTATGTCTACGTCTCTCTATTTTTTACCAAATATATTATTCCTATAATATTGTTAACATTTATTATTTATTTATCCATTATCGTTCATAAAGAAAAACCATCGCGGTTAAACCTTGTAGCTTTCGTCATGATTGGGCAACTGATCTGCCTTCATCATCACCTATCATCCCTGACTGGTGCCCCGCCAGTGTATACCGATAGGACAGACAGCGTTACCATTCCATTTTCACCCATTGAAAAAACCACAGATGTATACCATCTCTTTTAATCACGATTGAATAAGCAATTGATTAAGTAATTGAGATAGCGGCCGAGGCACACAGTCAGGGTCGTGCTCGCGTCACAGTCGCTCATGATTAAGGATCACGAATTGATCCTGATACTAGTCGAGCATTTTCGAATCAATCACACGTAAGTTAAACCGGTAATTGTTACATTAAAATATAATGTGTGATTATAAAACATTTAACATTGTGTAATTTTTTTTAATGGGTGATAATGGAATGGTAACCCCGCGTGCGCTATCGTTATACACCGGCGGGGCACCAGTGAGAGATGATAGGTGACGATGAAAGCAGGTCAGTTAGCCCATCGTGACGAATTCCACTAGAATTAACCACGATGGTTTCCAGACGGGACTAAGTGGAGATCGACCTGATAGGTTGTATTGCTAGCAATGGGGCGGTTAGATCCCTTTACTAATAAACCCTTTCCCCCCTGATTGAATAAATTAGATTTTTCTCAATACCTGTAAGTATCAAGCTATTTCAATACTAGTATTTTAATTTCGTTTAAACATACGATTCGATATTCTTTTTACAACTAACCACTATAGTATGCTCTTTGATACAACTTGATCCTGCCATACATCAGAACTACGCGCTGCTACCAAAATTCCATGTCGAAAGACACGTTAAGTTTGCAACTTGTAAAAGTAAACAATAAAAAGATTTTTAAAGCTTTTTTTCAGCTATTGTTTCCTTTTTTTCTTTTATTGAAATTTAACTGAACATATATGGAAAAATAATAATAATGTGTAACGTCACACTCAAAAATTCAAACTCTTTACCTAGTCATTAAATCAAGTTTAAGTAGCAGTTTAACAACGTATTTATTTTCGCCTGTAAATATAATAGACTTAGGAGAACTTAAGCTAATATTAACGAACGAACACTCAGGTTATGGAATGAGCTCCCTGCCGAGGTTTTCCCTAGAGACTACAGCATGGGGTTCTTCAAAAGGGGGGTAAAGAGGTTTCTTCAGGGTCGGCAATGCGCGCGTAATACCTTTGGTATTGCAGGCGTTCATAGGCTTCGGTAACCGCTTACCATCAGGTAAGGTATGCTTGTTTTCCATCTAAGTGGTATAAAAAAAAAGTACATAATCTGGGCACTATTCAGTAGACTATGTCTAGGGGGACATCTAGGCATGAAACATCTGGGCCTTACGTTTTGCTTTCATGTAATATTTTGAATAATTTAACTAATTAATTTTGTATGTCTCGTTAAATCAATACTGTGTAGTCTTAAACCTGCGTAAATTAGGTATAAATGGAACATAGAGTATATTATCTTCAAACGTCTAAGCCTGGCTCAGTCTGCCTTAAATTCTTAAGTCTAATTTAGTTTATAGACGTCGATAGTACTATAAAACCCTAAGAATAATTTAAAAATTCGACGAACTATCTAGATAGATTCAAATCCACAATCCAAATTTCAATTACTTTTAAACGAATTTCAAAAGTAGGATTAATTCTCAATTTGTTTTTTTTGTGGCTTTGTTACACGATTATGATGCCAATTTTAAACCAATTTTATCACTTTTTTTAATCATCACGGTTAGGCCATTGTTTTTAGGCAAAATTTTAAATTATATACTAATAATAATAAATCATTTATTACAATAAATCCAGTAATGGTATAAACATCAACACTATTATATTATTTATTTGATTTACGTATATATAACTCACTATATATATATATATATATATATATATATATATATATATATATATATATATATATATATATATATATATATATATATATATATATATAATTAACTTTAACCCACTACATATATTTATTTTTACGGAGTGAATTATAAACACGTGTTGTCGCGAATGCTACCACAGGCGAATTTTTGAATCCTATTTGAGTCCTATCTAAATAATTATTTTATTTAGAACTAGTTCCCCTGGCTTTGCTCGTGTATTACAATGTATAAGTTAGAATATAACCTGTTTAAATATTTAATCCAATACGTTTAGATATTAAACCGTGTTTGAGTAGCGAACATTAAAATTTTTACAAACGTTAACATTTATGTAGTAGAATTAGTAACATTTATATAGTAGGACCATGGTGATGATCATCACCTAATATAGTCCTATAACCATAGTCCTGAGCCACCAGCATCCACTGACTCCCTACAATGCATTAGTATTATATATGTGTGTGTATATATACCTGTAAATAAATTCCGCTTGAAGTGTTACCATATCAGCAACTGAAACAATGAAAAAATATAATTATAATTATGTGGAATTTTTTATTTCTATTTAAACTTTACTGTACACTAATTATAGAATACAAGAAACATATGACAGAGTCATTGCTCCTATATGTTCCTTAATCTTTCCTATATGTTTCCGGCATAGAATAGGCCAACCCTTCCTTTCTCGGCGTCATAAGTAAGGAGGGGACTAAGTGAGAGCAAGGGATAGGTAGCAGCGTTCCTCTTAAAACATCTCTAAAGCCTAACTGCGGTTGCTAATCCGTTGCCAAGCGTGATAACTACTGCCAAAACATCCCAAGGGGGAGGCCTATGTACAAAAGTCGATTGCTTGTGTACCTCTGTCCCATTCGTGTTTGAACCGTGAAACAGTTGTGTTTGCATTGCTGTGTTTCGGTTTGAAAGGTGGGATATGGCGTGAATTTACAGGGTACAGAGGAATAACACCTACTCCTCAGGAATGGCAACGCACGGGGGGTATCATGGGCGAAACAGTATACTCCGTTATGTTCATGGTACTGCTCATGTCTATAGGCGACGGTTACCACTTTCCATCAGGTGGACCGTCAGTTTGTTTGCTATTTTAAGTTGTATAAAAAAAAAACTCAATGGCTATGATATCAGCCATTATTCATTTTAATACATTGAAGCAATGCAAGAAATATTAGACTATATATACGTGGCTTTTTCGCACCCAGTAAATGATTTTGTTATCCCAAGAACCAAACCCATATTCAAACCAAAACATTAACAAGTAGTGATAAAAATTCATCTAATCCCGATGGTAAACCACCATGAAAATGAGCTTTTGTCAAGTAATTTTTCACGCCACCGCCGTTTCGTCTCATGCAAATCCCATACCGCGTACAGCTTACCATGAATATTATTATGGATGCCCTCGAAAAATTTCTCGTTACTACAAAAACAGCGTAGCACAAATTGCTGTTGTCAAAATAAAAATTTGTTACGTGATTTTGCATTTTTTCAAATACTTTTAGGATTAACTTTTTTGAAGCGCTTCATGAGAGTGTTTATTTAGTTTATAATAATGTTTCGTCTGATGATTTTACAAAATTGAATCGTGATCCCGCGTTTTTCAGTTGAGCTGTATTGAGGACTGCTTTTCTACGCCGAGTATCGCTGTGTAATAGAATATAAAATGAGGATATCCGTAGTAGAACCATCGATTTATATAGCTCTAAATGTAACCTGAACTGGCAATAGATTGACCATAGATATAACTATCTCGAAAAGCAGACAATTTTATTAATACATAGTACCACGGGCACATAGATTGTTGGAGAAAGCTTAATAAAATAATACAAGTATATAACAGCAAAAAGACATCGGTTTTTATTAATAAGCTGTCAATAATAAAAAAGAAATAATATTTTTTACCATTGAGGTTATCTACTTTAACATAGACATGGATAAAAGCTAGTATTGTAATAATTAAAAAAAAATCGCATTTGAAAACGATGCAATACAATCGTTTTCAATAATGTAAGGATTTTAATGAGACCGCATACGTCATTAAATCCTGCTCATACAATAAATGGGAAATTTGGTAACGATAGATGGATGGATGGAAGTTTGTTTGTCTTTCACGCAAAAGCTATATTCCAATTTAGCACATAGGATTATGTATGTACGAAATAGAGAGATACAATTAGTCTAAAATAAATCTAAATCTCTGTTCAGATATTTAGAAATTATGATAGAATAAAGAAATTCAAATACATACGCAAATCAACATACATACATATCTGTCACCCCACTTCCACAGTTCACGTAAATCAACTCGGAAAAATAATAGACTACCTCTTTTCTGTAGTCGTGTAAAAATTGAGTGAAAATTTCAATAGCAAATTTTTATTTCTTAAAAATAACCAATGAACTATTTTCAATAAATAATCTTTCACATATAATAAATTATTATTTATGCAAGCAAAATCTCTGGAAAATAAAGATAATAACACTCTTTCATATAAAAACGATGCGAGGGTTAAAATAGGGGCGAATACATTCTCCTCAGATCTCTCTAAACGGTCAGGGGATAGTTTTAGCAGAGAGACAATTTTTTTTTTATATATATATCTCGTTCATTTCGTATAATTTCGGGCGGAATCATAAAAAACCAGCTGATACGATAGGGTATTCAATAAGTCGCGCCCGAGCGAATGTCTCTGATAATATTATTGCAAGGGATGCAACTCAGAACTTCTATTGAAATCGTCGTTCGGTTCTCACATCCAAAAATAAATTCTATAGTATTGTAATAGGATTCATTTAGACAAACCACTTAAAATGCTACTGAAAAATCCCCAAAACCCAACTTTGATATAATAATTTTACGGTTCAATTTCAATTAGTTGCATATTCAACCAAATTTATTGAGAAACAGTGATTTGAAATGAGGTAGATTAATCTACGTACCCACTAAACGTCTGGGTGGATAACTTTAGAGCAAGGTTATTGCAAATATATATATATATATATATATATATATATATATATATATATATATATATATATATATATATATATATATATATACGAGTATATATATAATAAAACCACTAAAAAAACATGAAAAATTGTTTTAGTTTTGGATAGCCCATTTATCGAGAAAGACTATAAGTTAGCGCTACGACTGATAGGAGCGTCGATAAAACAATTAGATAATAAAGCACTATCACTAGAAATATAATTTTATACTAGGCTGCCTACTCAGCAAGGTGATAGTAAGCCAATGTCCTTGTTCTTACGAAAAAAAGGTTGCCATGTAAAGGTTCTTCCAGTATTTTTTTATTGAAAATGATAACCCATCCCATCTTTTTTTTACAACACAGGGGGCAAAGGAGCATGTGGCTCACCTGATGGTAAGTGACTACCGCCGCCCATGGTCACCCACAACACCAGCGGCATTGCAGGTGTGCTGCCGGCCTTTTAAAAAGCAATATGCTCTTTTCTTAAAGGTTATGTTGTCGTATCTATTTTATACACTGGCGAGGTACCAGTGACTTATGAATGGTCAGATTGAGGTCAAGTCATACCTTTTATTCATTAATATATACATATATAATTAAATATACACAATATCCAGACTAATATCAATAGATATAATCTTCTTCTTTTCATTTAACAGTTTCCTCTTGTCAGTGCAACTAGTTCATGCATCTTCTTCCAGCCAGTTCTATCCCAGGCCATATCCTTGTCCTCCCTATACGACATCACACCTTGTTTTTCTTTTATCTGTCCCATGTCTTCCCCTGCCTCCTTTGCCCTCTATTTTTCCTTCTATTATGCATTTTAAAAAATCGTCATGTTGTAGAAGATGGCCCAGCATTTTGCCTTCTTTTTTCTTCTATTCTCTATTGTTTTAATTAATGTTCGTCTCTCACTCATTTATTTATTTATTTATTTATTTATTTATTTATTTATTTATTTTGTGTCATTCTTTTCAGGACTTCTACATTCGTTAGTTTTTCTAATAGATATATTAAAGAATAAAAACCATCATCATCATTTCAGCCATTATCAGTCCACTGCTGGACATAAGTCTCCCCCATAAACTGCCATGAAGAACGGTCCTGAGCCACCTGCAGCCACTGATTTCCTGCAATACATTTCAGGTCGTCACTCCATCTAGTGGGGGGTCATCCTACACTACGTTTACCCATACGTGGTCGTCACTCAAGAACCTTTCTTCCCCGTCGGTTGTCGATTCATCGAGCTATGTGACCAGGCCATTGCCACTTCGGCTTGCTTATCCTAGGAATAAAAACAATGTATTCTAATTAAGCGCTGCGGTATATTAAACCGTTACCCATATAAAGTTAAATCATAAGCGGATTTATACCCTAAAATAATATCAATAAGGATGAATATTCCCGTAGACAGGTCATTAGCAATTCTTAAAATAGGAAACGCCTCGTATGGCGCGACGCCTCGTTACAGATGTCATGTCACCCATACCGTGGGGTATGGGTGACATGACATCTGTACCGACAACTGACGGTGCATGTAACTCGCCCGTCAATGATAACAACTCATTTACATAACTATGTAAACATATTTAGTATAATATGTAATGTATATAAGGGAAAAACCTTTTTTAAGGGGTGAAAATTAAATAGTAACCCCACCTGCGCTATCGGTATGGCTCTGGTGGGGCTCCAGTGAGAGATGACAGGTGAGGATGAAAGCAGGTTAGTTGGTCCATCGTGATGAATTTAAAAATGAAATAACTATAACTATAGGAGACCACGTAGAAGTCAACCTGATAGGCAATTAGGATATATTGCTAGCAATGGGGTAGTTTTTTCAATGGACGATAATGAAATGGTAACCCCGCCTGCGCAAACGGTATACGCTGACGAGGCACCATAAAGGTGAATAGGTGAGGATGAAAGCAGGTCAGTTAACCCACAGTGATGAATACACCTGGACTTCAGCCCGATGGTTTCCAGTGGGAAACACGTGGAGGTCGACTTGGTGGGGTATATTGCTAGCAATGGGACTAATACTCCGCATTACTAACAATCCCTTCCTCCCATAATGGGGTAGTTAGACACTATTACTAACAATTTCTAGTAGGAGACTTGGATATCTCTGTTCCACTCGTATTTCTGTCAAGCAGTTGTTTTTCGATTAGAAAAATGTAACATGATATTGAAATTACAAGGTAAGCACATCTTAATTTTTTTTTTTTATACAACTTAGAATGGCAAACAAGCTGACGGTCCACCTGATGGAAAGTGGTAACCGTCGCCTATAGACATGAGCAGTACCATGGACATAACAGAGTATACTTTTTCGCCCATGATACCCCCCATGCGTTGCCATTCCTGAGGACTCAGGTGTTACTCCTCTGTACCCAGTAAATTCACGCCATATCCCACCCTTCAAACCGAAACACAGTCATGCAAACACAACTGCTTCACGGTTGAAACACGAATGGGGCAGAGGTACCCAAGCAAGTTCTCAGGAATTGCAACGTATGAGGCATAACAAAAGCACCACAGTTTATTCTATGGTGTTTATGTTATTATTCATATCCATAGGCGATGATAACCACATTCAGGTGGACCGCCAGTTTTTTTACCATTTTAAGTTGCTTAAAAAATCTTTTATACTAACTTGACTATTACCTATTTAATAATTGGTTTTACGAGCTCTTTTAATAAAGAATATAGCTCAAAATTATTAGTAGTTTTTCGACTAAGAAACATTTTCTTAGAAGCCATATCAGCCTTTTACTGTCCATTGCTGAACATAAGCCTTCCTATTGGAGGGGTTTTCTAATAGTTGTCACACTTGACAGGTGGATTGGCAACCGCAGTTCGCCTTTGAAGATGTTTTAAGAGGGACGCTGCTGCCCGTCCCTCTCCCTCCCTTAGTCGCCTGGCATGGCATCGAGTTGTATATTATATGTCGGGTCCATACGGCAATTTACCTGTATATTACGGTCGAATTGATAATCTCCTTTTGTAGTCAATTAAAAATTTTATCGATTTATTGTAACGCTCAACGATTTTATACCCAATACTTTGATTTCGACTTCAGCCTATATGGGGCACACTATGGTTTATGTTACATGCTAGTACTATGGTTGGATGAGCAATGTTCTCCTTTTGCAACCAGTTGAAAACTAACGATATATTACCTAGTTCAACAATTCCATACACAACACTTAACTCATGTGCGTGATAACGCTCGTTGCACACATTTGCGAGTTTAACGAGAATGTTCCAGATGCGACAGCCGAAGTTCCACTATACAGCCGAGTTATTTTGAATTCCGAATCCTATTTAATACAAGGCGAGTAAATAAATGTTTAGATTCGCCCAAGTGGAAAGTCGACCTATATATAACATAGTTTTATCTTTCCTCTTGTACTAGAACGAGGCGCATGGTTTCTTCTGTCCGAATAGTTGTCGTTGGTATCTATTTTTAAGCAGCTTTCAAAGAAAAGAGTTTCTTAATATGCTTTTTTTTTAATATCAAAATCAGAACCGATTTTGATAATCTTTTTAGAATCGATAGAGCTTACTTAGCGTTAGTCTCATAAGAATTTTGTAGGAATTTAAATAGTTGATTGTTTTCCTGTACAACAACGTTTTGGCACAAAATAAGACTTTTTTTATACAACTTACAATGGCAAACAAGCTAACGTCGTACCTGATGGAAAGTGGTAACCATCGCCTATAAACATAAGCAGTATCATGGACATAACAGAGTATACTGTTTCGCCCATGCGTTGTCATTCCTGAGGACTCAGGTGTTATTCCTCTGTACCCTGTAAATTCACGTCATATCCCACCCTTCAAACCGAAACACAGCCATGCAAACACAACTGCAATCGACTTTTGTACAAAGTCTCCCTCTGGTATATTTTATTTCATTTTATCCTTAGTTTTGTTGGATTCTTTTTGTTAGAATTCAGATGAAATAAGTCAGTTATTAATGGACTTCATAGAAAATTGCCTCCTAATGTTTTAAATTAAATAAAAACGTACTTTTTCTTATATTTCTAATTTCAGAGAAGAAAGTTATATAGAAAATATTAATATTTAAATAAATAAATTTGCGATGCGATCCCGACATAGAATGGGACACTCTCTTCTACTGTGGGTGTTCGTAAAAAGTGATGAAGGGAACTCAATGATCGAGTGATTAGCAGAAGTGTCTCTCTTAAAACATCAGCCGAACTGAGATTGCCAACCCACTTTCCAAATGTGGCAACTACTTCATGTAGAAGACCAATGTTCAACAGTGGATAGTAAACGGCTGGTATGAATGATATGAAAATATCAAGCCAAAAGCACTCTTCAATCGATAAGACCCTTCAAGGCTTCAATCACATTGAACAGACAGGAAAATAGGTTCTAAAAAGCATTAGCCTTCTATCTAAAATAGTGAAGTAAAAGATCTTGAGCCCCAAGCAATATACGTTCTAACCCAAGATTCGTTCCCGCCAAAAATTCAAGTGCAATCCCGCAGTGCACCGCTTCACTCTAACCGTTCCCGGATCTAATATTTTATTCACGCCACTAAAAGCATGCAATACTTGGGAAACAGGTTTAGTTCCGGCAAATTCCACTTTCCTTTATGACTTTTGTCGTTTCCCCAACGCTTGGACGGAAGGTGCCAGAGTGATGTGGCGAATCCAACTTTTATGGTAATCGAATGTTTAGTAATCGTTAAAAAGAATTCGGAATCCGAGTCGGACGAGTCAGATAAGTATTCGAGTATTCGTATGGGTATTCGAGTATTCATAATACTTAAGTAGTTTTTTAATTGATTACAGAAGCTTCGATACTTCTAATAACGGTAATGAATGTTTAGTCATCTAATATATTTTTTTTTCTGTGGTAATTCAGGAAAAATAATAATAAAACGATGACATATAAACAAAAAAAAACTTATTCTGAAGACGCGACTAGTATTCGAATACCTTAAGTACTTGGTACCTTTATTCGAATATCGTGTATCCGAATTCTGTATCGTACTCGTGTTAATATTGTATAATAAATGCGAAAGTGTAACAATGAATGTATAGATAGATGTTAATTACTCTTTCACGCAAAATCTACTAAATGGATTTGAATGAAATTTGGTACACGTGTAGGTTATAACTCAACTTAGTATAAGAACGTCATGTAGTGATTCTCTGATTCTGATTGAAGCCGCGGAATAAAGCAAGTATTAAATACTTGTGTATTCAATACTCGAATACTTTTTTTTTACAAGACAGGGGGCAAACGTGCATGCAGCTTACCTGATGGTAAGTGACTACCGTCGCCCATGATCACCCACAACACCAGCGGCATTGATACCAATTAGTACTGAGTACTAATCAGTATTATTATGTACTCGAGTCAGTACTCGAGTTAGCTGATATGGGACATCACTATGGTGCTGGTTTTCTGACTATAACCAGTTATTGGCGGTTTGTTGGTTTCCGTTATGTGCGTTATGAGATTAGTTCCGCAGTGGTATCTCCAACGTTTCTGCAATATGAGTTTATTAAATTTTATTTATGCCCGCGACTTCTTCCACGTGAACAGAATAAAAAGGTAGCCTGTCTTTCTCTATATAAAATACTATTTAAATGCCAAAATTCGTGAAGATCAGTTATCAAGGCAGTTAAAGATTTGTAACAAAGTTAACAACGTTAGCAAGGCTGCAACCGTTGATTACCACTTCAACTTGCAAATTCGTTGAATTTTCTCGATAATTTTGATCCTTAGGCATTTCGTTTCGGTTTTGATCCGTAAGAGAAACTCGAAACATTTACTTTTAATAAATCCAAACTTAATGCTAGAAGCATTTTTTTTTTTTTATTATAACTAATATTGGAAATTAATATAGTTACATTAAAATTTGGCAAATTAGAATTCTATTTAATAACATTTTTTTTACAACTTAGAATGGCAAACAAGCTGACGGCCCACCTGATGTAAAGTGGTAACCGTCGCCTATAGACATGAGCAGTACCATGGACATGACAGAGTATACTGTTTCGCCCATGATACCTCCCATGCGTTACCATTCCTGAGGACTCAGGTGTTATTCCTCTGTACCCAGTAAATTCACGCCATATCCCACCCTTCAAACCGAAACACAGCCATGCAAACACAACTGCTTCACGGTTCAAACACGAATGGGGCAGAGGTACCCAAGCAATCGACTTTTATAATTACAGTGTAAGTATATATAACACATACAACAAGAATTTATAGCAACCTTTTTGAAGTCTTTTTACACTT